AACAAAAAATTGTGATTTGTTGTTAATGCCTTATTCTGCTGTATCAGAGAGAGTCAGAAGTCAATGCTTCTTTTTCTTTCCCAACCTTTCCTCACTTCTTATTTGCTTTTGTATTTTGTATTTTATAATACTTTATCATCATCTTCTACTTTTAATGATCCCATAATCCCTAGCAGGGTGGACTCTGGGCCACTGAATGGAGCTAGCAGAGTGTTTACTGGCCGGATGCCTTTCCTGTCGCAAGTGTGGAGTTTCGTTCAGCAGATATATATTCTCATTGTGCCCAGAGAGAGAAATAGCTGCCTCTGCCTAGGATTGAACTCACAGCCTCCTGATTGTGAGGCAACAACTCCACCTCTAGGCCACCGCGCCACTCCATATATTTATAACCCAATAAAAACGTATTTTAAAAAAGAATATTTGATGTCAAGCGATGAAGTGAGGACTGTCCCATTTCACATTGAGCCATGGCACTGGGATCTCCTCTGGCATTGCTGCACAAATGGTGGATATCTTTTGTGGGTCATCTATCCACTCTGTTTTCCAGCCGGCCTCTGAGGTTGCTTCTGCTGTCCTTCTTATTTATTTTATTTATTTATTTTGTCAAGCATGCATTTGATAATATATATATATAAATATAAACAGGTATAAGTATATACATAATAAATGGGGATGAATAAATGGGAACAGTAGGACAGGGATGATAGGCATGCTGGTGCGCTTATGCCCACCCCTTACAGACCTCTTGGGTGAGGTCAACAGTTGACAGTCTGAGGTTAAAGTTTTTGGGGTTTGGGGAAGAAACCACAGAGTCAGGTAGAGTATTCCAGGCATTGACCACTCTGTTGCTGAAGCTGTATTTCCTGCAATCAAGTTTGGTGTGGTTTACCTTAAGTTTGTATCTATTGTGTGCTCGTATATTGTTGAGGTTGAAGCTGAAGTAGTCATTGATGGGTAGGACATTCTAATGGATAATTTTATGTATTACGCTGAGGTCAGACGGAAGGCGGCATAGTTCTAAATTATGTAAGCCCAAAATTTCACGCCTGGAGGCATATAGGATATTCTGGCTTCTGATAACAGTTCTCCTCTTGGGCTTTGGGTAATTACAATGATTTCAGAGCAGGTCGTTAGTCTGCTTGGGCACGTGGAAAATCCCAGGTGACCACAGCAAGACACACCACAGCTTTGATGTGAATGATTTATAAAGGGCATCTTTTTAAGTTGGAGCTGGCAGTATCTCTCTTTCTTTCTCTCTCTCTTTTCATAAATCTGTATTGCTTTTGATGTTGTGGTGTATTTAGGATGGAGTCAGGTGGGGAGAAGAGTCTGGCTTGAAATGGGCACAGCCAGGCAAACTCTGATAAGGGGAGGCTGTTTTGGCTATTTTCAGGGTAGATATTCAGGGTCTGTCTCATGGAATAAGAAGGAACCTTTTTGTCTGTTACAAATGGGGCAATGCTCCCCAAAATTAAAACAGAAGCTCTGTTAGCACAGAAAGATTTTTGGAACGTGGAGAAACTCCTGGGAACAGCCCTTTTGCCATCTCTCTCTCCATCTCTACCATCTCTATCTGTCAGTCAGTCAGTCTGTCTGTCTGTCTGTCTGTCTCTCTCTGTCTCTCTCTCTCTCTCTTCATTCTATCTATTTCTATCTCGTTCATCTATCCTTCTATCTATATATACGGTATCCATCATCTTTTTGTCTACCATCTATCTCTTATTCTATCTATCTATCTATCTATCTATCTATCTATCTATCTATCTATCTATCTATCATCTATCTATCTGTATCTATCTGTATCTATCTGTATCTCTCTCTCTCTCTCTCTCTCTCCTCCCGGTATCTATCTATCTACAATCATTATCATCTATCTACCATTATCTTCGTTCTCTCTCTAATCTTGTTTCTTTAATCTGTTATATCTATTTATCATATATCACTCTCCCTCACTCTCCCTTTCTCTCGCTCTCTCTCTTTGCATAAAACTATTTCAGGTCTCCAATTAGTAACCATTAATTTGCTGAGTGCAATTGTTCATCTCCCTCTTTCTCTCTAGATTTCCTTCCCTGATAAAATAATTCCTTAATGGCCTGTGATAGAGGCATAATGTAAAATGTTACAAGGTCTAATTTGAACAAGATTTTTAAAAAAAATCAGTCCGTGGTAGGAGACTGTACTGGAGAAGTCTTCCAGTCAGCTACCTACCAGATTTCTAACTGTTTTTTTTGCTTTGTAAGAGCCCAGTTCCTGCAGAATGTGGAATATTAAGACAGATAAGGCTGCTCTCAAAAGTAAACCTTCCATGAAGAAGTTGATGATGCTGAAATGTAGCTGTGCTGAAACACTTGGGACAAAAGAACTGCAGATGGAAGCAGCACTAAAGTATTCCATTTTCTGTGTCACTGGTATTTGCTCTGCAGTAATAATGTCTTTGTACTGAAATCTCTCTTTAATTGCCAAGGGGGAGGGGAGATCAATTGCAACTCTAATTGGGAATCAAATCAGGGTCTCCTTTGAAGCCAGCATAGGGTATCTGAAAAATACAGGTTTTTCTATCTATCATTTTTGAGCCCCATTTTTCTCTCTGACATCTTTGGGGTTTTTCCCCCCAGCAGATTAAAACAAATACAAGCAGGTAACGAGATGATTATGGTTTATCGTGCAGTCAGCCAGAAATTGAGACTGGAGTTGACATTTTTATTCATCTATTGAGTCCTTCCCAAGGACATTGTGGGCAGATATTGTTTGGTGGCATTCAAGGTACCGTTGCAGGATGTGAGCTGTTCCAAGTGAAGCTGCCTTTCGCAATTGACTGTTGGTGGTTTTGTCAATGCCGATTGTGTTCAAGTAATGCTCCAGTTGTTTTGGGATTGCACCAAAGGCACCAATTACTATAGTATTATTATTGTTATTAACAAATTTATTTGCTGCCCATCTCACAGTTCGAGGCAACTGAACTGGGAAAGGCTGACATATAAAACCAACAGTAGGCTGAAAGTAGCTTTTATTTACAAAAAAAAAGATAATTGAAATAAAATGTTTGGAAGAGCAGCTTCTTAGGACAAAATGACAAATGTATTGTGTCTTTTTCAGTGCCGTTTGCTTGTAAACCTCTTTGGTTAGAGAAGAAATTAGCTACCCCACTTAAGGAAAAAAATGATTTGGACTGCAGTGATTTGATTTGGGGGTACTTCTGTTTGTGATTGCTCAAACGTAATCACAATGTGAAACAATGTGGTGCTGTAAAATGCACCAAGCTGAAAATGGTGCTGTTTGGTGCTTACGTTGCCAAACTCCCTCCGTGCTGATCTGGCACAAGGGAGCCTGCAGAGAAAGAAGCCAACGTGAATTTGATAAAAGGCAGTGCAAGAAGCTAACACGGTGGCAGACAGATGGTGAAATGCCCTCCTGAGGCACCCTTCCCCAATTGTTGAAGCCTACATTATGGCAAACTTTGAGTGAATGGAAGATGTGCAAAAATCAGTTCAGAGCATCTTGGTTTATGACAATCTGGGTCGAAGCTTCGGAATACAAACTATGACTTGGATTTTAAAAAAAACAGCAATAAGAGAAAACAAGTGTGTGTGTCCTGTAACTGAGTAGCAACAAGCTTAACAGAAAATGTGGGTAAAGGTAAAGTCTCCCTTGAGTTGAGGTCAACTGCTGATGGCTCCATGGAAACATCTATGTAGCTTTCTTGGAAAATGGGACATGGAACCTGGAAGTAGTTTTCTGGTATCTTCTTCTGAGATATTTTTTAACACTTTCCACTTTAGCCTTTGGCCAAGGAGGACCTTCTGTTAAATGATCAACCAGTCCCAGACCTGCTCCATGTGACATCAGTCAAAGACAGCTAGTTGACATGGCTCCTTAGATGGATGGTCTGCATAATACCTTCCCATATCTTGTTGCTTTTCATAAAAAGGACTTAAAATAAGAAAGTCAGGTATCTGGAAGGCAAAAGGCAAATACAGGCATAATAGGGCCCACAAGTTCCATAACTGGAGCTTGATAATTAAGGACATTGATTCCATAACTTGAATAGGAAAAGCAATAGATGATTAACCTCTTAGCCAGATGGTAGAAGTAGTGAAGTTGATGTTTACATTTATGTTGGTGTTGATGTCAATGTTGACATTGATGTTGATGTTGACGTTGACAATGTTGATGTTGATATTGACCTTGATGTTGACAAAGTTGATGTCGGTGATGTCAATGTTAACTTTGATGTTAACATTGACATTGACAATGTTGACAATAAGATTGACAATGACGTTGACAATGTTGATATTGATGATGTTGATGTTGATGACAATGATGAATAGAGCTTGTTCTGAGGCATGATATCATTCACTTTGTAGAAAGGAATCCACATTTTGAAAACCACAATGATCTGGATAGCATAGCCATCTATTGCTGTGTGCAATTTTTTCCTAAATTTCTTGTGAACCAGCTTTACTCCAAGCAAACGTTTGCCGTGAGCTCCTGACTCTTCATCACTCCATGAAGTCAACTCCTCTCCCCTTCAAGCACAATTCTGGTTATTAATATTATTCTGCCTTTCTGCCCATGGGATGCCCAAAGGAACAAGTAACTAAAACTCAAAGATCTAAATAATCATCAACCGCAGGGGGGAGCCTGCAAGGTGGTGTATTACAAGAGTTGATTGGTATTCTCTTGCAACCTTGCTGTTTCAATTTTTTCCATTTTAATTTGTACTTAAGTGTTTTAATACCTGTCATACTGTTTTAATTGTCCCCGAGGTTCTGCGACAACCAATGTCCCGTTCTATGAGAGAGGTGGCTACATAAATCTGCTAAATAAATAAATAGCAACGTATTTAGGGAGGGAAATGCCTGAATCAAATCGATTCGGTTCCTTTTGTGCTTCCCTTCTTTGATCAAGTTCTCTGTCTTTACACTTAGGTTAAAATAGCTCGTGATGGCACCATACCAACCAGTCTGAACAAGAAGCCTCCCAACGGTGCTGTTGGGCCCCAGGTGACCCTGGAAATGAATCTATGCTGGAATGAGATTAAGAAGAAATCACACAGCCTTCGGTAAGCAGCCCCAAAAGACCCAAGTGTAACTTTGCTTCAACATCTTCTCTTTTCTGTCCTCCCACGGTTCAACATCTTTGTCTCCTCAGGGCTCGCCTAGAGGCCTTCTCAGATCACAGCGGCAAGCTGCAGATTCCTTTGCAGGAGATCATTGACTGGCTTAGCCAAAAGGATGAGGAGATTTCTGCCCAGCTACCACTCCGTGGGGACGTTCTCCTGGTACAGCAGGAAAAAGAGAGGCATACGGTAGGCACCAACAGTCCACAACTAACCCTAGCATCATGCAGAATATCTGAGAAAGCCAACAGAATCCACAAGGAGTTTCCAAACACCACATACATGGTTAGAGAAAATGATACTGCAGGGCGCTTCAAACTTGACAGCTTTAAGACTTGTGGACTTCAACTCCCAGAATTCCCCCTCCAGTCTTGTTAGCTCAGGAATTCTGGGAGTTGAAGTCCACAAGTCTTAAACTTGCCAAGTTTGAAGATCCTTATGATAAAGCAGCATATAGATTTAAAGCCATAAATATTTTGTGTTAGGTAGAAAAAAATATGACACAGGGGTTGTATAGTTCATATCATGTGTTGACAGCAGCAAGAATTGTATTTGCACAATATTGGAAAAATGAAGAAATTCCTACATATGAAAACAATTTTTTAAAAAATTAGACTGTGCTGAGATGGATAGGTTAACATTAAAGATAAAGGATAAAGAAGATACAGAATATATTTTAACATGGGATTTGTTTTACCAATGGTTAAACAATAAAGGTACAAATTAGAAGTTGGAAGAATACCACTATGTACAAGTAAATATTATTATTCTTATTGATGTTATGTATAAGTAAATTGACTCAGACAATACACTGTTTATTAAGTATGTTAAAGAAAAATGTACAAATAATGTGTGTGTGTGTCTGTGTCTGTCTGTCTGTCTGATTTCTCCCCCAAGTGAATGAAAATGCTGAAAATTTATTTGTTTGTTTGATTTTTATCCTTCGTCTGGGGGGATTCTCAACCCTCGTGGTCACGCTTGTCCCTTTTCCACGAGGCAACTAGACTTTCTTGGTTTTTCCTTTGAAAACATTTGGCTTCTCATCCAAGCAGCTTCTAAACTGAGTTAAACCGAATAAACTTTTTGGGTGAGAAATGAAACATTTTCAGAGGAAAAAAAACCCAAGGAAGTCCAGTTGCCTTTTGGAAAAGTATCTCTGGGACATTTTTATCCCACCTCTACTAGTTTTTTATAAATAACTCTTATTGGGTTTTTCTTCCATTTGGTCTTCTAGTCATTCAAATAGAAAAAAAGAAGATTCCCATTGAGGTAGAGCTTAATCAACCCATTGTCGTTCCTCTGATGTGTCTTTAGCTCACGTTGTCCTCAAGTCCACTTCCAAAATCTAAACTGAGAATGTCTCAAGATTGACCCTTTCCAGAGTCCTAAAGCTGCCGTTTCTAATTAGTACATAAGATCCAAAAAGAGTTGATTCAACCAAAGACCATTGTGACTTTTAAGTGCTCTGTCTTGTGTACAGACACATTATTTTCTGGGGTTCCCTTCATTTCTTCTGGTCTTCCCTTCCTGATGTAGGCCTTCATGGAAGAAGTGAAGTCTCGGGGACCGTACATTTATTCCGTTTTGGAATCGGCTCAAGTTTTCCTAACTCAGCACCCATTTGAAGAAGTGGAAGATGTAAATCTTGACAGCAAAGGTGGGCAAATCTGATCGTTTTCTCCATACATCTGGTCTTGCACTTTCCAAACATTTTCTCTTCTTCTTGCCTTCTTCAAAACTTAAAAGGGCTGCCAGATCAGCAGCAGGTGGAGCATAGCAGCTTGTGGATTGGTCTTTCAACATGACTTCTCATGTTGAAAAAAATAATCTCTCCAGAGCAGTATTAGTGGACACAGTAATGCCCTCCTGCTTTTCAAAGGGGTATCTTAGGGAGAACTTTATTAATAGCCTGTGGTTTAAAAGCCCAGCCCAAGAAAAGTCCTTTGATAGTAAAAGGTTTCCCAGAATGAATAAGAACCTGGAACTGGAAAAATCAAATATTCAGAATTAGAAAGCCTAGTCGACCCAAATAATTGATAGTCAGTTATTCCACTGATGGTACATCAAAAAAGGTGTTGTGTTGTCTTTTGACTGAGATGCCAGCCAGCTAACCATGATCTTCCCATGGATATCTGTCATGCCCCTCTTAGAATCTGACTCTGAGGGAGAGGAGGAACAGCTGACAGGTAGTGGGAGTGTGGCTCCAGAGGTTTTGGATGAAACTGGGGAAGGGCACAGGCCAGATGGGCATTCAGAGGAAGACCCAGGCCCATCCCCTCTTCATCCTAGGCATGCAGGGAGGAGGCGGATAAGGGAGAAACGTGAATGGCATGGTCTGTGGGGGACGAAAGGGCCTTGATCCCCTTCATGGGCTGCAGCTGTGAGGACTGTTTAATAGGACAAACTGTGCATGGGCCAGTGCTGGAAGCAAAGTGTGAAAATATTTCTAGTTTGTCAGTTCTTATCTGAGTTTTGGCATCCTTCCCAGTTTGTGTATTTCAATATCTGTAGACATCTTCAAGCCCTTATCCTGCCTTGTCTCATTAATTGCTTCAGTGTGGTTTGTGTTGTTTTTTTCTATTTATAATTTATATGTATTTTGAGTTTGAACAGAAGTTCTTCCTTTTCGCAACTGTTTGTGGGGGAGTTTTTTCTCCAGTCAATCATAAGTGGAAGCCAAGTTGAAGGAATTAAAGGGAATTCACCTGTTTTTGTGACTTCGTTGCTTTTGTATCCCACCCTGGCTCATCACAATATCATTCCATTCCATTCCTCTTCTCCAAACCATCATCCCTCATTCTGCCTTCATTGAATGTTTAGGAGTTCTTTTTTCTTCTCTGTCCACAGGTTTTCCCCCCTTTCCCTTAGATACATTTTTATACTTTCGTATTTGAACCTGAGATTATTTCCACAGGAAGTTTCTTCCGTATCCAAAATATAGACTTCCCATAAGCTCATAAACTCAGGAGGCCCCACCATCCACACAGAGGAATTGTGTACATGGAACCACAGTGTAGACAATACTATCCAACCTTCCTTCCCTCCCATCTCTTCCTCCTTCCTTGTCTTCCCAAAACCTATTTGCCTTCTATTTTTATCTACTGCTAATTTATTTATCACCGAAATATGTGCAACCTCCTGAATCATAAGCAGCATAAAGTAAACACTGGCTGTTGATTATCACAAGTGGAACAGAGTGATCACCCTCCACTCCGTGCTGGTGAGTTTCCGACCACAGTTATGTAATTCAGAATGTTGAACTAGATCTGGGGTCTCCAACCTTGGCAACTTTAAGACTTGTGGACTTCAACTCCCAGAATTCCTTATGAGAGTTGAAGTCCACAAGTCTTAAAGTTGCCACGTGGGAGACCCCTGAACTAGATGACTATTGGTCTGATCCTGCAAGTTGTTCTAATGTTCTGCTCTCCACTCTAACATTTGAAAGTCCATCGGATTTTCTGATGAAGCAATTGCCTCACTGGAAATTCAACACCAGGTCTTCTCCCTCCTCAATGTTCCATTTTTAGATGTCTCCCCAAGACACCGGATCCAGAATATCAGCCGTTTTGTCTGGAAACAGGCAACGGTGGCCAGCGAACTGTGGGAGAAGCTGACTGCCCGCTGTGTCGACCAGCACCGTCACATTGAGAGGACCCTAGAGCAGCTGCTGGAGATCAAAGCGACCATGGAGGAACTCAGCACCACCCTCAACCAAGCTGAAAGTGTGCAAGAGACATGGGAACCCATTGGAGATCTCTTCATCGATTCTTTGCCAGAGCACATCCAGGCTACCAAGGTAATCTTTGGTCACTCATCTTTTACTTGTTGTCTAAGAGATCTGGAGGGAAGATTAGACCAGGTCGGCAACCCATGGCTCTGGAGCCGCATGTGGCTCTTTCATCCCTCTGCTACGGCTCCCTGTCGACAGTCAGTAAAAGGAAAAAGGACACCATGCTTGGAGGAGACTCTATGGTGGGGGAACCAGACTTCTGATCAGCAGAGGAAAAAGGATGCTGCACTAGGAGGCAACTCTATGGTGAGGGAACTGGACTTCTGGTCATCAGAGGAAAAAGGACGCCACTGCACTAAAAGGAGACTCTATGGTAGGGGAACCGGCGTTCTGATCAGCTCCAGAATTGAACGGCCGGCTTCCAGTTAGGACCTTTGTGGCTCTTTGAGTGTTTAAGGTTGCCGACTCCTGGATTAGACAGATGTAGACTCAGCATCTCATTATGCAATAGAGCTGTAACTCTAGAAGCATGCAGAGTGACTGAGGGTCCAATGTTGGGTTGAGTCAGGGCTGTAGAGCATTTATCACCTGGAAGATACTACAGTGTTTTGTGTGATATATTCCAAACATCAGTAGAGCAAAGATCGGTTGGGGAGAAGATCATGGGAGTTTTAAGGAGGCTTATGCAAGGCTTATGGCATCCATTTGATTCCTTACCTCCCAACTCTTGCCCAATGCAAAAACGTCTGAGGACAGAAAAGGTTTGTTAGTGAGTGTTGTGGTTCGTGGCAGCAGGTGCGGATGGCTGAGGTCTCGGAGAGCGAGGACTCAGATGAGGGGCCTGTGTGTGAGGCAGGGATGGGGCCAGGACCATCAGGGAATGGAATGCTGCCTTTGGAGATTGTGCAGGCTGGCAGCAGTGATGAAGAGGTCCCCGAGGAGCCTGTGCCCAGTTCGCGTGCACGCAGGGCTGCTCGAAGGAAAGAGCAGCTGCAGCAGCACGGGTGACTTGGGAGTAAGGCTGCAAGGTGATGGCCAGCTGAGAAACTGGAGATCTTTGCAGGAAGCAAAGAAGTTTTTGCACTCAAGCCTGGTGGACGTTTGGATTCTCTTAATTTGTGTCTGGAGACTCTTTGTGTTTGCAATATTTCTTGGCAACTTTATCTAGTGTTCTTGGCAGCCTCGCACAACCTTGGCAAGGCTCATTCTTATCAGAGACAATTAGTTTGAAAGAGCCTTTTAACCGGGAAGGAATGGAATTCGTAAAGAATCATGAAAAGGTTTTGCTGTTACCTCTGTTTCGTGTTGGTTTCCTTGGAACAGGGTTTGGGTCAGAACAGAGAGCTTCATACAATCACCGTTCCATATTTTCTGCATTCCTCTGGTATGTGAGGGTTTGTGGAACAAATCACAATGGCTGAACTCACCCAACGTATCCGTTCTTAAATTATGTTCTGCAATCACAGAATTACTAGTTGGAGGTCAGAAGCTTGGCAGAAACCAAGATGGTATCTATGAGACATTGATCTCGGTTACTGATTAGTTGCTTTTTTTCTGTCTCTGTCTCTTCCCTTCCACCCCCCACCTTCCTTTGATCTCTCCCGTTTTTTCTTGGGCTGATGTGGCTCGCCAGTTGTTCCAAGAGGAGCTCTCCCCCATGAAAGACGGGGTGAAACTTGTGAATGACCTTGCACACCAGCTGGCCATCTCTGATGTCCATCTCTCCATGGAGAACTCCCGTGCTCTAGAACACATCAACACACGCTGGAAACAGCTGCAGGTGAGACAACTTGGACAAGGCTTGGAGCAACCCGGCGTCTAGTCTGGTCTGCTTTTGACATAGATCCTCCTCCCACCCCGTCTTCCCCAAATATAGACAAGTGGACTCGGTTAGCTATCTGCTGCGTACGTTTTTATCGGTACACCAGCTTTCCCTGTGGCTAGGCACATTTGGGTTGTGCTGAACTACAACGCCCATCCTCCCTGCCCTGGGGAGGGCTTAGCAGTGGAACAGTGGGCTTTTCAAAAGTCTCTGGATGTGCTCAGCCACGAACTGCTTGCTCGGACCGATAAGGCTGAACTTTTTGCCTCACTTGGCTTGACGGGTCCACCTTCTACACAGGTCTCCATCAATGATCGTCTGAAGCACCTTCAAGATGCCCACCGGGACTTTGGGCCAGGATCTCAACACTTCCTCTCGAGTAGGTGCACTGGGTTTTTGTTTTTGTTTTAAATAGGGAATTGCTCTCCTTTTATATACTCGTGGAATTTTATATACGGTGGCATAAAATGAGAGTAAACCCCACTTCCTTCCAACACTGATAATGTTACCTGGTAAGGTAATGAAACATCTGCAAGAAAGCAACCAAACTCAGAAAGCACCAAGGACCCTACAGTCCTTTTCTTCTTCTTCTTCTTCTTCTTCTTCTTCTTCTTCTTCTTCTTCTTCTTCTTCTTCTTCTTCTTCTTCTTCTTCCTCCTCCTCCTCCTCCTCCTCCTCCTCCTCTTCCTCCTCTTCCTCCTCCTCCTCCTCCTTCCTCTTCCCCCCTCCCTCCTCCTCTCCCTCCCAGCACTGATGATGTTACCTAGTAAGCTCAGAGAGCGCCAAGGACTCCACAGTTCAACCCTGAGCTAACAAATATTCTCTTCTTTTTCCTTTTGCAGCCTCAGTCCAGGTCCCCTGGGAACGAGCCATTTCTCCCAATAAAGTCCCTTACTACATCAAGTGAGTATCAAGCTATGTCCTATGAAGCTTCCTCTCGTATCCAGACCTTCATTATTATTAGCAACCTTCAGCCCTCCTGCCATATCATTTTCTTTAAACCTTCATTTTGCACCTTGTAGAAATCAATATCATTGATTCCCCCCCCTCCCACACCCTGTACTAATTCATTATGTTCTCAGTGCAGGAGCCCAAGTGTATTTTTGTATTATTTATATGAGCCTTGGACTCGTATTGTTATTTGTCTCCATCCAAGCATCCAATTTAAGTTTTATTATTATTATTATCAAAATTCAGCAAGCGGGAGGTTTTCCTGGACCCCCGTTTTTCCCATCCTAGATTCATGAGGTACCCGAGTTTGTGTCTCTTCAACTGTGTGACAGGTATAATTATAGCTGAAAGTCGCCTGATGACTTCATTTATTATACCTTTTTTTTCTAGCCACCAAGCCCAGACTACCTGTTGGGACCATCCAAAGATGACTGAATTATACCAAACGCTGGGTAAGAAAAGCAGTACGGGTAATCCTAGAGTTATGACCGCAATGGAGCCCAACATTTCTGTTGCTCAGTGAAACATTTGTTAAGTGAGCTTCGCCCCATTTCACGACCTTCCTTGCCACTAGTTAAGTGAATCCCTGCAGTTGTTAATTTTGTAACGTGGTTGTTTAAGTGAATCTGGCATCCCCACGGGCGTTGCTTGTCAGAAGGACAGAAAACGGGAACTCGTGACAGAGGGACACGGCAACTGTCATATATACGAGTCAGTTTCCAAGCATTTTAATTTTGATCATGTGACCAGGGATACTGTAATGGTGTTTTTGAGTATCACAAGTCACTTTTTTTTCAACTCTGTTGTAACTTCGAATGGTCAGTAAAGGAACTTTTGTTAATTGAGAGCTACTTGTAATACCATCTCATGGACAGGGGGAACTAACAATCCATAAACTCCAGAACGATCTTTCCCTGCCTGTCTCCCCACAAATAAGTTATGGCTACAATTCCCAGGCAGTGTACCTCCTGAGAAAGTTGCAGTTTCAAAGTGTTTTGGATGTTGGTCCTAAAAAGGAGAAGGGATTATGTAGTTGCGCAGTACTGCAGGCTACTTCTGCTGACTGCTGGCTGCCTGCAATTTGGCAGTTCAAATCCAACCAGGCTCAAGATGGACTCAGCCTTCCATCCTTCCGAGGTGGGTAAAATGAGGACCCAGATTGTTGGGGGCAATAGGCTGACTCTGTAAACCGCTTAGAGAGGGCTGTAAAAGCACTGTGAAGCAGTATACAAATCTAAATGCTCTTGCTATCTAAGCCATGGTGGCACAGTGGTTAGAATGAAGTATTGCAGGGTAATTCTGCTGACTGCTAGCAGTTCGATCCTCACTGGCTCAAGGTTAATTCAGCCTTCCATCCTTCCGAAGTTGGTAAAATGGACCCAGATTGTTGGGGGCAACAGACTGACTCTCTAAACCACTTAGAAAGGGCTGTAAAGCACTGTAAAGCAGTAAGTAAATCTAAGTGCTATGGCTATTATTCTGGGGAGCCAAGGATCTCCAAATGTCAAAGGAAAGGATATGAAATTGATGTCTTCCTTTCTTTCCCTTTTGTTTTTTTAGCCGACTTAAACAATATCAAGTATTCTGCTTACCGTACGGCCATGAAGCTACGCCGGGTGCAGAAGGCTTTGAGACGTAAGTCCTTGTCCTTCCTTGCATTATCCTTCCTCCGTCCACTCAAGTTGTATTTGCCTCCAATAGAAGTCAGATCCTTCTGAGGTCTTTAAAATGATGAGCCAGATGATTGGGGGCGATAGACTGACTTGGAGACTGCTTAGAGAGGTCTGTAAAGCACTGTGAAGCGGTATATGTCTAAGTACTATAGCTATTTTCCTTCCTTCCTTCCTTCCTTCCTTCCTTCCTTCCTTCCTTCCTTCCTTCCTTCCTTCCTTCCTTCCTCTCCAGTGGGTTAGAATGCAGAGTTGCAGGCTAATTCTGCCCATTGCCAGCAGTTCGATCTTGCCTGGCTCAAGGTTGACTGAGCCTCCCATCCTTCTGGTAAATTGAGGACCCAGCTTATTGGAGGCAAGATACTGACTCTGTAAACCGCTTAGAGAGAGCTGTAAAGCACCCTAAAGCGGCATATAAGTCTAAGTGCTATTGCTATCGAGATGTGTTGTAGCTGCTTTCCCCCCCCCCCCGCCCCCATTTTTCTCCCACAATAATCTCCTGGTTTTGACTGTCCTTTTTTTCTGCCCCACAGTGGATATGGTGATGCTGTCCACAGCCTTGGAGGTGTTTAATGAACATGAGCTCCAGCCCAGTGACCACGTGATGGACGTGGTGGAAGTGATCCATTGCTTGACCGCTCTGTATGAGCGGCTCGAGGAGGAAAGAGGCATTCTGGTCAACGTCCCTCTCTGTGTGGACATGAGCCTGAATTGGCTGCTGAACGTTTTTGACAGGTATTGGGGACATACACCCATGCAAAGAACAAAAGCTTGCTAGAACGCCTCTCTTTCTCTGGGATGGTTACTTTAGAGAAAGACAGTCCTTTCCTCCTTCATCCCTGGGGCAAAAATGAGATCATTACTCTAGGTCTATCTCAAGCATGAGCCGCAGTGGTGCAGTGGTTAGAATGCAGTACTGCAGGCTACTTCTGCCGACTGCCAGCTGACTGCAATTTGGCAGTTCGAATCTCACCAGGCTCAAGGTTGACTCAACCTTCCATCCTTCCGAGCTCCTTTCCCCTTATCTTCCTCCTGAACTGTGGTGGCGCAGTGATTAGAATGTAGTGTTGCAGGCTAACTCTGTCCACAGCCTGAAGTCCGATCCTGACTAGCTCAAGGTTGACTCAGCCTTCCATCCTTCTGAGGTTGGTGAAATGAGGACCTAGATTGTTGGGAGCAATATGCTGACTGTGAAAACCGCTTAGAGAAGGCTGTAAAGCACTGCGAAGTGGTATATAAGTCTAAGTGCTATTGCTATTGTCACCAATGTCCCATCTCCATGGCTTGGGGCTGGGTTATCAGAGGGACTGTCTCTTGCTGGTTACATTCACCCAACTCACTAGAGGCAAGAAATGTTGTCCCATCTCCTAAGGAAGTATATGTGGTGGGATCCAGAAGAAGGGCCTTCTCAGTGGTGTCTCCCTCCCTTTGGAATATCATCCCTGCAGAAATTAGACTGGCCCTCAATTTGACATTCATTCATGAAGACTTGGTTTTGCCAATGGGCCTGGCTGGGAACCCAGAATGAGATGGAGCCCACCAGGTGTCTTTATTTGGCTGTGTGTTGTTGCCAGGGAGATGGGGGGTTATTATTATTTTTATATCGGGTTTTACTGCTTGTAAGCCTCCGAAAGTCACTGTCAGCGAGTGGGCAGCCATGTCCATTTCCCAAATACATAAATAAAAATAATGAATCATTTTGCATTGCCCATAAAACAAATCTTCCTCCGTGCTCCTCCTTCCAAGACTGGGAGGAGATAATCCAAAGCATGAGAATGTAGGATTTATAGTAAATCAATGTTATTTATTAGAGCACAATTAAAGTCGCAGCCCAAGAATTCCAGTAGGTTCTTCGTCTTAAACAGGACATCTTTAAGATGTGTGTTTCATGGCAGCAACATTCTCATCCGTTCCAGCCGGGCTCTTTCAGGGCCTGTTCATTGTTTGGGCTGCTGCTATTTTCTTTCATCAGGGTGGGAAATCTCCAGCAAAATTCAGACTTGTAGGGGGACATGGGAATGTGAACCGGAGTGGAATTCATTAGCTTCTCCAGGCCTTCTCCTCTCTTGCTCCAGAGGGTAGGCCAAGACCTATGCATGGAAACGCCAAAGAAGCAGATGGCGACTTTTTATTCAAAGAAGCTTTGTGAAGAAGGGCTCCCGTTCTTCTGACAAGCTGGCAAAAGACAGAGCTTTTATCAGGGAACAGAGGACAAACGTTTCACCCCGCTCCTTTTTCTTTCAGTGGGCGCAGCGGAAAGATGCGGGCCTTTTCCTTCAAGACGGGCATTGCGTGCCTCTGCGGCACGGAGGTGAAGGAGAAATTCCAGTGTGAGTCACCCTGCAGAAGACGGCTGGTGGAATCCGAGGGGGAGGCTTCCAGATTTAGCAAGGATGGAGAGAGAGAGTCACAGGCAACCACATCCAAGAAATGGTCCTCGGTCTGGATGGCAGCCATGTTTCACAGCTCTCCAGCTCTTAATTTTGGCAGGGGAGAGGAAAGCTGCTGCACCAATAGACAAGGGGAATGGGCCATTCTGCCATAGGGAGATCTTCTCCCAAATTTTGAGTCTTCTTCTGTTCCAAAAAAAGAGAGAACTTTTTAGGGAATGCTCCAGAGTCATGCCCCTGTCAGAATCTGATTCGGAGCAGGAGGCTGAGCAGCTGTCAGGGAGTGGGGGTGTGGCTTTGTTGACTGGGGAAGAAACTGGGGAAGGGAAAAGTCCGGCTGGGCAGAGCAGGGGGAAAGGGAATTCGGAGGAAGACTCAGGCTCACCCCCTCTTCATCCTTAGAGCACGCAGGGAGAAACGGAGAAGGGAGCAATGTGAGTTCCGTGGCTTATGGGGGAGGAAAGGGCCCTGATTCCCTTAATTAGCTGCAGCTGGGAACACAGTGTTAAAAAAGGGAAGTTGCTCACAGCAAACTGTTGGGAGCAAATCGTGAATTATCTGGTATCATCTAGGCTTATCTGGGTTCCTGGCATCTTCCCAACTGTGTGTGTTTTGCTGGCCTTTCAAGTCTGCAATTCCTTCTCCTGCCCTGTCAAAGTTAATTACTGCAACGTGGTTTGTGTGGATTTTTACTTTCAGTTTTTATGTACTTTGTTTTCGGGCTGAATTTCCTCCACTTAAAGACTGTTCTTGGGAGAGTTTTTTCTACAGCCAAAGGTAACCTGGACATTGGGGGCAAAGTTGGAGGTACTAAAAGGACTCTTCTTACTTATGTGACTGTGTAGCCTTTGTGCCACACCCCAGGTCATCACACAGTTTTAAAGAAGGCCATTGTTTTCTCTGCCAGAGACTCCTTATAGAGGAGTGTCTGGGGAAGAGAATCTTCAGGCCACGTCACACTGCCCAATTAGGTGTCCAAGGATTGTTATGGGAAAATGGCCACGCCTCTGGCTGACTACTGCTGGAGTGTCCTTGACTCCCATGACACAGTTTCTTGTTATCACCTGGAATGCACATTCCAACATCTCCCTCCCTTATCCCCCTGCCTCTTGGCAAGCTGTGAAGCAGCAAAAGTGAAAGCAGCCTGAATACCCTTCGAAGCTTGACATGTGCACATTCACATATCAGCCATGGTGTCTTTTTCCAAAGAATGCTGTGGATTGTAGATCAGGGAGAATATAAAGAATTCGGAGCCTTGGCGGAACTAAAATTTCTCCTCTGCATTCTTAACCGTTCAGACATAGGTTTGGGTGGAGCTTATTTTCTTCCTACGAGACTGGGACGAAGGCATGAGGAAGGCTGTGATTTCAGCCGCTCTTCCTCTCTTCTTTCTCCTCCCTGTCTTCCTTCCTCTCCTTCCTTCCTTCCTCTCCTGCTTTCAGACCTCTTTAGCCAGGTGGCCAACTCCAGTGGGCTCTGCGACCAGAGGCACCTGGGCATCTTGCTCCACGAAGCCATCCAAGTCCCGCGGCAGCTGGGGGAAGTGGCGGCCTTCGGCGGGAGCAACGTGGAGCCCAGTGTCCGCAGCTGTTTCCGCTTTGTAAGTGAATCTCTTTCTGCTTTTCCCAGGGGGGTGGTTAGAAAAATCAAAATGGCAGGTGGAGGTGAGGGATTGGAGCCTTATTACCTCTCAGCTACTCTTAGCAAGTCTGGCATGCAATAGAGCAGATGAAATCAATACAGACCAAACAGGCGTTCCAGTAGTATCTTTACTCCATGCTACAATACCAGCAAGCCCAAGCAGTAGTGGTCCATTCAAAGTCAGCTCTAGGGCATCCGCCTCCCCGGTGTTCCTATATACCCTAACCCCACCCCTTCTATTTCTCCTTAACCACCGCACCAGTAACTACAAACCGGCAGTTAAAAACCCCCTCCAGCAATCCACGCCTCGTGTCTTCAGCGCCCGTCTGCTGGGAATAGGAACTGGCCCAGCGAGCCACCGTACTCTGCTTAACACGGCCTCAGGCAGCCCTTGCATCCTGCAGGCTTCGGATGCCCACCTCATCCACTGAGCTGCCTATTCCCTTGCGACCCGGCTGCGCTGTCTCTCCCGGTTACTGTTCCCAGAACACCTGTTCTGACCCACGCCCTTTTCCAACAAATCAAATACAATCCAAAGGGAACAGAAACCTTTTAATGCTTCTGCAAAATAATTAGCTGTGATAAGCACAAGCCTTGCCAAACTGTGCGAGATGGCCAAAAGATAACAGTCATGAAATAATTTGCAACCTAAGAATCTTTAAATACAAACTCAGGATACTGGAATGTCCACGAGGCTGGAGTTTCAAAATGTCTTTGCCTTCTGCAAAGGTCCGATTTACAGTTTGCTTTTATCTTCTTGAAGGAGGGGCCATTACCTTGCAGCCTTACTCCCGAGTTGCTCGTGCTGTTGTAGCTGCTCTTTCCTGCAATCAATCCTGCGTGCCCGCGCACTTGGCACAGGCTCCTCGGGAACCTCCTCATTGCTGCTGCCAGCCCCCACAATCTCTGAAGGCAGCAGTCCACTCCCTAATGGTCCTGGCCCCTCATCTGAGTCCTCGCTCTCCTCAGCCGTCCACACCTTCTGCCGGTTAACCACAACAACACTGCAATCTGGATGGGCAGGAAGGGCAGGAAGACAGCTGGTGGCCCGGCGAGGTTGCGTGTTAAGCGAAGACATCGCAGAAAAGGAGGGAGAGATGCATCCCAGTTTGTTTGTTTGTCAGATCACTGCAGCTGTCATCTTGATCTTTTTTTTTTTTTTTTTACAAACATGTATTCCCAGGACACCTTTGGTTTTAATCCCCATCGATATTTTGAAAAGGAACCCTTATCAAGGAAAGAGGTGGAAGAGATCCATAGAACGTAATTGCAATATTCCAGTTCCTTTTGTGACTTATTATTTCAAAGTTGTAGCAAATGCAGTTATGGTGACCCCACTGTATATTTGAGGCTTGAAACTGGACATTTACTCACTAGACTAAAACATTTCTTTGTAAAACTATAAACAAGCGAAAACCTTATCCTGACTAGCATGCATATCTAATTATATTCTCTCCGAGGTTGCTTTAATCCAACTTGTTGTCATGTTAAATTCACCAAATCCAATACTTTTAGCCCTGTACATTCTCAAGCCCAAGGAACTGAATATGTATATCATAGATTCAGAGGAAAATGTATCTGCTGTGAACTCCCACGTAGGAGTTAGGAAGGGTATCCGGCCAGTAAACGCTCAGTTCCATCCAGTCGTCCATCCAGTCCATGCCCCGAGTTAAGGGATTACAGGATCCTAAAAAGGGGAGTTTTATATTACACATTCAGAGGAAAAAAGCGTGATAGCCTTGGAAGTTGTGGGATTTGATTGTCTCCTTTCCTTCTTCTAAATCTAGGGAAATGGCAAAGCATCCATTGAGGCAGCTCAATTCCTGGAATGGGCAAACTTAGAGCCACAGTCAATGGTGTGGTTGGCCGTCCTTCACCGAGTAGCCATTGCTGAGCAAGTAAAACACCAGACTAAGTGCTCCATCTGCAGGCAGTGTCCCATCAAAGGTTTCAGGTATGGAAAGAAACAGAGGGTCATTCTGCTGGAAGGCTGCTGGGTACACACTGATCCTTTTAACAGAAAAAACAGAGTTAGGAGGGACCTTGCAGGTCATCTAGTCCAACCCACCCGCTCACGCAGGTGATCCTATACCATTTCTGACAAGTGGCTATCCAGACTCTGCTTGAAAGCTTCCGGTGATGAAGCAGCCACAACTTCTGAAGATAACTTCTGTTCCATTGTTGTTGTTGTTGTTTTTACTAACTGTGCACATCCAATGAGGCAGAAGTAATACTCATACAATTTGGGATGCAGCTTAATTCTCTGTGATGTTTGACATTCTGAGCCCATAAGTTGTAGGACATCTCTCTTCAAAACCCTCCTGCATGTCAAACCTTCCCTCCTCCTGTCTTGGGGTAGTAGTTTGGTTCCGAGGTGGTATTCAGCAGGTTCTGACCAGTTCTGGAGAACCGGTAGCGGAAATTTTGAGAAGTTCGGACAACCGGCAAAGACTGCCTCTGACTGGCCCCGCCAACTCCATCTGTTCTCTGCCTCCCGAGTCCCAGGTGATTGGCTGGGTCTTCTTTTGTTGCCCTGCACAGGAGAACGGAGCTGAAAAGTAGGTTAGTGGGGTGGGGAGGGAATGGAGATTTTGCAGTCTCCTTCCCCTGCCATGCGCACCAAGCCATGCCCACCAAGCCATGCGCACAGAACCGGTAGAAAAAATTTTTGAATCCCACCACTGGTTTGGTTGTTCCAACTGCTACTAGTTGTCTTACAAAGGGGCATATCAAAGCAAATGAAAGACACAGGCTCCCAAATTTGGCTGCCCTTCTGGATTTAGTGCCACTGACGTCACGTTTCAGGTAGCCAGTTTAAAAAAGGATTCAGTTTGAGCCTGACTTGGCAGTAAACGGACAAACAGACAGTTTTGAAAAAGACATATGGCACCATCAAGACGACTGCAACATTTTTAGCAAAAGGATGAAGTTAAAAAAAAGAAAGAAAGAAATGAGGCACAAAAGCTTTCTTTTTAAGAACTTTTTCAGATTGGAGACGCAACAAGGCCAAACAATATAAATAGGAGTGTTGGGAGTGTTTTTTAGCTAAAGAGAGAGAAGGCTAGTTAAAAATTAACGGTGAACATGTAATCTACATTATTCTTACAATCCCACATCATTCCGATCATCAAATCCCCAAATCAGCATTTCGGGGTTTTTTCAGTTTCTCACCCAAGAAATAAAATAAAATCAAAAGTCGCTTCCAAATAGAAATAAAATCAATCAACTCTGTCAATTTTGCCAATTTTATCAATGTCACCACCCATTCTTCCAGTGTAGGTATCTATAAGTTCCTTCCACCTTTATGCATATAAAAATCACCGCTGCAATCATACATAAAAGCAGAATTCCTGTGATGACCCGGGGCGTGGCACAAAGGCCACACAGTCAGATAATCAGTAGAAATCTCTTTATTAGCTCCAAATTTGCCCCCTATGTCCTGGTTACTTTCTGGCTGGAGGAAAACTCTCCCAGGAACAGCCTTTAGCTGCAGAGATTCAAGTCCAAAACGTGGTCAACAAAGACTGTAACTATAAGTCCAATCAAGGCAAGAAGAGGTAATTAGTTTGGAAGGACAGGAACAAGAATTCCAGCCATGAAAGCACGGCAATAATTCAACACAGTTGGGAAGATGCCAGGAACACAGATAAGCAAAGTCAACACAAGATAAACTCACATTTGCTCCCAGCAGCTGCTGCACTCAGCATGCATCTCTTTTAAACTCTCTTCCCAGCTGTGGCTAATGAAGGGAATCAGGGCCCTTTCTTCCCCCGTAAGCCATGCAACCCACATTGCTCTCTTCTCCATTCTTCCCTGCGTGCCCTAGGATGAAGAAGGGGTGAGCCTGTGTCTTCCTCTGAACTCCCTCTCCCTTGTTCTACCTCTTCCCTGCTCTGCCCAGCCAGACTTTGCCCTTCCTCAGTTTCCTCCACAGCCAATGGAGCCACACTCCCACTCCCTGTCCGCTGTTTGTCTTCCTCCTCAGATTCAGACTCTGACAGGGGCATGACAATTCCAGAAGAAGGACTAATCCACTGTTTACATGATAACTCTATGTTTTCTTAAGCACACCTCAAACACAAAGCGATTGGAAACTCCCGTGCCAAATACAATTCACTGCACCTCGGAGTCCAACTCTGATTGATGAGCTGACAGTATCTCAGCTCACTCCAAAGCGTAGCCATCATAATGCAGTGTGAAACAGTGCATTCTTTTATGATTCAAATACCCCTGGCTGAATCAATCATTTTTGATATATCTAAACTGATCATCGGCTAAGAAATTTATAGCCCTAAGTGGCCAGTCTGGATTTAGTGCCCCTGATGTCACTTTTCAGGTAGTCAGATAAAAAGGGATTCGATTTGAGCCTGACTTGACAGTAGACAAACAAACAGTTTGAAAAAGACATATGGCACCCTCAAGACATTTTTAGCAAAAGGATAAAGTTAAAAAAAAAATGATGAGACACACAAAGCTTCCTTTTTAAGAACTTTTTAAGATCGGAGACACAACAAGGTGAAACAATATAAATAGCCCTCTTGGGGTTATTTTTAGCTAAAGGGAAAGAAGACCAAGGAAGATTATGAATCATTCAATAAGAGCAGGAGTATGAACTCAAGGCTGCGGGCTGAATCCGGCCCCTGGGTGCTTAGATCTGGCCCACAAGGTTGCCTTGGAAACGGCGAAGAACGGGCTCATTTTCAGCCATGATGGGCTGCCACCCTCTGCCAGCAAAAATGTACGGCCCCCCTGAGCTCTGCTGGCCCATCACAGTCAAAACTGGAGCCCAGGAGGACCACGCACCCCCCACAGCTCCGATTTTACTAGCAGAGACCAGCAGGAGGCCATTGTGACCGAAAACGGAGTTTAGGAGCCTGTTTTCGGTGGCAGAGCTCTTGGGCTGCCCCCCACCCCCCCCCCCCGCGCGGCCCCCCCCCGGCCCCCCCCCCCCCCGGCCCCCCCCCCCCTTTCCCCCCCCCCCCCCCCCGAGTTAAAACACAACCCTGATGTGGCCCTCCATGAAATGGAGTTTGACAGCCCTGAATAAGAGAGAAAGATTTTCATCGCCATAATCAAAATCCTTGGATGCATCTTCGTAGACTTAGCTGTTAGGAATGAGTCATCAGGGGGTACTCAGTTTTCTTCCGTCGCCAAGCGTCAGCACACAGGAACTCTGCTTTTCAGTTTTGATCAGCACCCACCCCAATCCCTGCCTCTTATTTCTCCATGTCACAAACTTCCACTGAGTTGGATCTTTCTTGTACCTCTGGCCATGCACGGAGTTTTCAGAAGACCAAGAAAAGAAGCTTGCAGTGCCATGCCAAGTGACAAGATCTAGTTGTGCCACCAACAGATTTCAACCGCTGAACGAACCTGACTCCAAAAACCAATATTTCGGGGTGCAATTTAAAAACATAAAAAGTAATATATCCAACAGGAAATCTATAGTAATTTAACAAGTTTGGAATGTATTTTTTTTTTTTTTAGATGAAGGTTTGTTTAAGTTGGAGACCATCCCACCCTGCAGAGTCTGTCTGTATCCTGGTTTGGTGCAATTCAGACGAGTTTTGGTTGTGCTTTGGTTGGCCTCAATATTTGGGTTTGCTGGTAACAATGAACATTTTTTTCCGGTTGCTCCAGATACCGCAGCCTCAAGCAGTTCAATGTGGACATCTGCCAGGCTTGTTTCTTGACGGGACGAGCCAGCAAAGGGAACAAGCTGCATTATCCCATCATGGAATACTATACGATGGTAAGAGAAGGAAGGCATTGTCGGCAAAGAACTATGCACAGTGGTTGGGTGCTGCTTAAGTGATGCTCTGCTGAGCATCCTTATGGGGCAGGTTGTGCAGTTCTGCATAGGGCTGAGCATGGAATTTGCTACTTATTACCGATTTTCTCTCTCTCTCTCTCTTTTTAATGAAAAAAAGAGTAAGGCAAGAATAATGATTGGAGAATCAAACTTCAGATGAAGTGTTTTTCCAGTGAAACCAGTCAATCAGGGCAACTTGGTCTACCCAAATACGGGACAGAGCATACTGCTTCCACTTTCGCCTTTCAGCCCCAATCCAAGCACCGTCTCAGGCAGTTGCTTTCGTGACAAACTATTTTTTGTGTGTGTTGAGTTTATATTTTTATTTTACATTGTATGGCTAGCTGATGAGAGCCAAATAGCTCGAAATAGATCTATACCCTTTATTTCTTTGCTTGTAAAATAAAAATTCTATACTTCAGATGATTGTGCATCCTGGATTTCAGCCAGGTTGATCTCAGCAAACTGAGTATTGAAGTGTGCTTAGTGAATCTCTGCACTTCAAAATTGACCAATCAAATCAACAACTAGTTCATTTCTCAGAGGCTATTTGTAATTATAGCAATAGCACTAGCACTTAGACTTATATACTGCTTCACAGTGCTTTATAGCCCTCCCTAAGTGGTTTACAGAGTCAGCCTATCACCCCCAATAATCTGGGTCCTCATTTTACTGACCTTGGATGGATGGAAGGCTGAGTCCACCTTGAGCCTGCTGAGATTTGAACTGCCAAATTGCAGGCAGCAGAAGTAGCCTGCAGTACTGGTATAATGGTCTATAGTACTAAGGGTCTTCAAACTTGGCAAGTTTAAGACTTGTGGACTTCAACTCCCACAATTCCTGTGCTAACATGACTGGAGGAGGAATTCTGGGAGTTGAAGTCCACAAGTCTTAAAGCTGTCAAGTTTGATGACCCCTGAATACCATTATACCAGTATAACCAATAATGGTCCATGGGAATGGCCTTGGCAGACAGGGGGAAGAGCTGCAGCCAAGGGCACAGTTGGATAAGGGTCAGCTTAGCTTACAGAAGGAATGAGGGCATGGCAAACATCACAGAAAGAAATCCACACCCCCAGTTTCTTGAGCTGTAAAGGAAAGGGGGGATATATATATTTTCAAACTTGCAAGATTCAGTTAATGTAACCATACAATAAAGTAGAGCAAGTACTCCCGGTGTACTTCTTGTCTGGACTACCTTGCAAGCAGAGGTGGTATTCCAGTTCTGGCCAGTTCTGGAGAACCGGTAGCGAAAATTTTGAGTCATTCGGAGAACCGGCAAACACCACCTCTGGCTGGCCCCGCCCCCAACCATTCTCTTCCTTCCGAGTCCCAGCTGATTGGCTGGGTCTTCTTTGGTTGCCCTGCACAGGAGAACGGAGCTGGAAAGTAGGTTAGGGGGGTGAGGAGGGAATGGGGATTTTGAAGTACCCTTCCCCTGCCATGCCCACCAAGCCATGCCCACAGAACCGGTAGTAAAAAAAAAAAAAAAATTTGAATCTCACCACTGCTTGCAAGGCTGGTGCTATTCATCAGGATTCAGAATCGCTCAACAACTTCTTGCTTTCCATCTTCTGGTTATAATCTTCCAAAAGATCAAATCCTGCTCCTGTTGGAATCAGCCAAGTGCTAGGCTGAAGGTTTTTCCTGGCTCTTAATCCTGGTTCTTTGCAGACCTTAATCCCGAAGGTGTCCCCGATTCTTTGCAGACCACCTCCAGCGAGAACATGAGGGATTTTGCTACCACCTTGAAAAACAAGTTCCGTTCCAAGCAGTACTTCAGCAAGCACCCCCAGAGAGGCTACCTGCCAGTCCAATCTGTGCTGGAGGCAGATGTCGCTGAAACGTGAGTTCGAGTCCGGAGACAGTTGTGAAAAACCTCTTGGCTTCTACTTCATAGCTCTTCTGAGCAACCAGAGCAGGGTTTGGGCATTTGGGGGCACTGCTTCTCTTTTATAAAAGACTGGAAACCTTTGATGGGCTTTTTGCTGAAAATGGAGAAGAATGAACTGGCGATTTCTGGGTTTATCGATAAAATAAGGGGTGGGAATGAGGGGAGTGGTGCAGTGGCCTGGTTGGTGGAGCTCTCCCCTCACAATCAGAAGGCTGTGAGTTCAATCCTAGGCAGCGGCAGATATTTCTCTCTCTGGGCACGATGTGTAAATATCCGCTGTGAACTCTGCATTGGTGACAGGAAGGGAATCCGGCCAGTAAACACTCAGCTCCATTCAATTGCCCCAACTCCACCCCGCAATGGATTACGGGGTCATTAAAATATTTTTTTTTAAAAAAGGAATGGATATGAGGGTCTATTCAACTCTTTTTTTTCTTTATCATTTTTATTGCTATATCATTTTGTGTTTTATCTTTCCGCTGTGTAAAATCTTTAATAAAAAATATGTATGTAAACAGGCACGTCGGGCACAGCTTCTCGGAGACCTTTTCCTTGTCCAACTGGAGTCTCCCACTAATGCAGCAGGTGTTTTCATGGATACTAGTTACCTTTTTTAAAATTTTACGCTTCTTTTTTGTGCTTTTCCAGGCCAGCCTCTTCGCCGATGTTACCACATGCTGACACCCATTCTCGGATTGAGCACTTTGCTAGCAGGTGAGATTTGGAAGCACTCAAGGAAGAAACCAAGAAAATCTAAGGCACCTTGCTGCCCAAGGCCAATCCATCTGATAGCTCTCTCACCGCCCAAATGAAAGCATCTTCTACCCAAGACTGGCCACATTTTTCTCCTCTAAGGCTTTTGTCCCACAATATCCCTGCTTCTCTTCCTAATTCTAAAATATAACAATGATAAATTCAAACCACCAATTCTCTTGGATCAAATCATGTCAGATCCATTAGCTTCGGCTTGGCGCCTTGCTGGCATTCTGTTATCAATTAGGGAAGGAAGGAGGGAAGAAATGGACGATAAACCTGTGTACCTTTAGGATGGGAAATTGGGAGGGGCGGAATTGAGGAATTGATAGTTGAGAAAGGACAGAGCATTTTGGAATCCGGTTACTGGCATCTTCAAGGCCATTTGCCCTAAGTGTGGAATTTCACCAGCTCAAACACCTCAGCACTTCTCATAATATCTCGGCGGTGCTTGAATTGGCTAAGCACAAACAGACCATGGGAGGAGGGATCAGGGAAACCTGGAGTTTTAGTTCTGTGTAAGCACACGGGAATTTTAAATTCCTCTTGATTCTCCTGCAATCAGCATCTCTTGGTGAAAGTGCCTTCTCACTTCAAATGGAGTCGATAGTTTTACTTTCCTCAGGGATCAGACTGAGGCAGGTCTGACATACCATTTATGCCTGGGGTCATTACTGAATGAGAGGCCCAATCCCAAGGTCAAACATTAAGTGGAAGGAGATGGTACACGTGGCTGAAAGGGTAGAGGAAGAAGAGGCAAACTCAGCTGGTCCACTCCAAGGTAGTAAAGCGGTGGACAGTTTTCTTTAATCAAACGATTTAATCAATTTTATCTCACCAAGAGTGATTTCAGGTGGCACACAACCACAATGGGGGGGGGGGACACAGATACAAACTATAAAAATCCATATTAATAAATGTCAGCTTCGAGGCTGCCCCATTCAGTGCCTGGGAATTTGGGAGGGGGGATTTCATAGAGAGAGGGAAGACTAGACACAACAACCTTCTTTCTCAGAGAGTCAAGGACAGGTTGCCCTGCACCTGGAGGGGAATGTCTGGAGGGATGTCTCCAGTTGGGATGACGATTTGATTGGGCCATGAGAGGAACTGATGGGCGGAGGGGATGGATCTTTGATTTCTCTTTTGGGAAGGGAATACCTGGAACTCTCAGATTTGGGTTTTCCCAGATGTGCCAATATGACAACTCTAATAAATTGGAACTTTGAGGAATTGTTTGTCTTGGAGTTTATTGGTTTGAAGTTGGTTAGTTGGAACGGTGACAATAAATATCATAAAAACTAAAGATGCACACCCTCCATGACAAGGGAGATCATCACCGTCCATTGACTCTGCTTTCTTCTCTTATAGGCTTGCTGAGATGGAAAGCCAGACTTCTTCTTTCTACAATGACAACCTTTCTCCAGATGATAGCTTGTGAGTTGCAACTTCTCACTTTCCCTCTTCTCTTGCCTATCAATTCTTTGGCAACCTGCATCCTTCTCAGCCCGCAGACCTAATCTAGCCCACCAAGCCAAACTTATCTTGCAATGATGGAAAAGGAGGAGACCAGAAGACATTGTGAAAAGGAATTTGATAGTTCCTAATCATCTGGTTAGATTGATTTGGCTGGTCTAAGGTGGTCTAATAAACCATCCCTCTTCATTGGGCCTCTTCTGAGTTTGAGAGGACTTTAGGCTGAGCATCCTCTGGTGCCAGGGTCTCCAACCTTGGCAACTTTAAGACTTGTGGACTTCAGCTTCCAGTTTGCAAGGCTTCGGCTTGCCGCTGGAGTGCCCCCAATCCAGCCGGATTTGGGAGCTAATAGTTACCCCGTAGAGGTAACTGAAGATAGGGGAGATCCAGCAGGGGTCCGGGGGAATCGCAACCCCCCTCCTCAGCTGGCTTAACTCCCTTTTCCGAAAGCGGTGGAGCAGCGGTCAGCAATGGCCGCCACAAAGAAGCTTTCATCCGGATAAGAATGTGCAGGAGGAAGCTGAGAAGTGAAAGTTTTTGGCTGAACTGGGATAACAAGTAACATTTAAATACCCTGGAATTTAAATTTCATTAAAGATACACCGCTCCCAAAGAAGATCGGAAAAAGCGGCGAATGAAAGCAAAAAGGGAAAGTTTGTTTTTTCTCACTGTCCTTCCTTACGGTGATAGCAGATGGAAATCGGAAAAACCCGAAGTCCACAAGTCTTACAGTTGCCAAGGTTGGAGACCCCTGCTCTAGTGGTCCATCTCCTCTGCCAGGTATCCAGCTGGTTATGGAGACCACCAGATTGCCCTTTTCACTTCCCAAAATTGCTCCCAGGACAATGTATCCTGCCGGTGCTACTTCTTCCTGCTGATCAGAGGAGGTAACCCTTTCAAGGGAAATATGGGGGCAGAGATGGTCCTTCTGGGGTTGATAGACCCTGGCAAATGCATGAGCATCCAGACATTCCCACCTGTCTTGTCTCTTGGAAGCTTTGGTGCTTTCGCATCTCCATCTCTTCTCCATCAGTTCACATTCCCTTTCTCACCACCCGGTTGCTCTTCTCTCCACTACCTCAACCTCATCATAGCTCTATTCACAACAGGGATGAAGATCAATATCTTTTGCGCCATTCCAGCCCTGTCACCGACGGAGAACCTATCTCCAGCCAAGAGGCCCAGGATGGCACCAGGACAGATGATAAAGGAGAACTGGAAAGAATTTTGGCCCACCTGGAGGATGAAAACAGGTAAGCTGGTGTTGATCACTGAGTGGTGGCTTCTGCAAAGTCCTTCCTTAGATCCATCAGATCTGATCTTCTAAAATCCAGGCAACTGCTCGACAGCAGCTAAGAATTGGCTTTCTGTATTTTTTGCTGCTCCCTTCTGGTTGTTCCATCTGTTCAATCCTTAGTTCTTAACACCTAAGAATTGATTTTCTGTATTCTTTGCTGCTCCTTTCTTGGTTATCTGAATTTTTGAAGACCTGATCTGGTAACCCAACCATCCGATAAATATAATCACCAGAGCACAACATGACAAACCCCATGTGAGCTGCGTTTCTAAATATACAGGGAGTTATAAGCCAAAAATAGCTCTCATCGTCCCCAGTGAATATTCCAGGCTGGAATTTTCTTTGAACTCAAGTTAATCCATGTGGACCAGATCGGGAAGGATAGACACCCTGATCTGATGGTTGCTCAGCTGGTTGCTCAGCTGGATCTAGGGCTACCAGATCCTGATTGCAAAAATCCAGACAAACACTAGATAGCAACAAAGAGATAGAGAAAACTTTTAATTGTGGAGTCCCTGAGCTTGGTTGTTTTCTTGAAGACGTTTCATTACCCAACTTGGTGACGTCACCAGTGCACTGATGATATTACCGAGCTGGGTAATGAAACGTCTGCAAGAAAGCAACCAAGCTCAGATAGCACCAACCACCCCACAGTTCAACCCTGAGCTATAAATGTTCTCTTCTATGAAAACCTTAATTCTCTGCTGCTGTCTAGCAGTCGAGAGCTGATTGCTCTAACACAGGGGTCTCCAACCTTGGCCACTTTAAGCCTGGAGGACTTCAACTCCTTGCTGGCTGGGGATTCTGGGAGTTGAAGTCTTCCAGGCTTAAAGTGGCCACGGTTGGAGACCCCTGCTCTAAACAGGTTTCCTTTCCACAGGATCCTTCAGGGAGAGCTGAGACGTCTGAAGTGGAAGCACGAAGAGGCAGCCGAGTCCACCCAAGGAGCTCCTGAAACGGCCCAGGATCCCCCCAGTGAAGAGCTCTTGGCCGAAGCCCGCATTCTTCGACAGCACAAGAGCCGCCTGGAGACCCGGATGCAAATATTGGAGGACCATAACAAGCAGTTAGAATCTCAGCTGCAGCGCCTGAGGGAGCTTCTCCTTCAGGTAACCGCACACCTGTGTTTATTCTGTGAAAGGGGACGGGTTTGTGGGCAGGAAGAAATGGAAAATAGCCAAATGATCTCTTCTGGGTTACCTTCAAAGTCACGGAGACCAACATTAGATCCATATGGAGAACTTTTATTGTCATTGGCCGAAATCTTCTAGTCGTTGCTTATATATGGCCAGGGAAGTAGAATACACAACGTCTCACTCGGCCTGTGATCCACCATCTTAATTTCTGAGAAGTTGGACTACCGTTTACCTGAAAGGTGCATTCCTGCATCTTTATCCATCAATTCAGAACCTGCCTAGATAAGATCAAGGCCCAATTCAACCTTCTCCAGCCCAGGTGGCTGAACGGCATGGCTGAGTATTTTGACGTCCATGCCGTTAGATGGTGTCCACCTTGAGCAAACCTCACCAAATTGTTACAATCTGCTTGTTCCTATTTCCTCCAGGAAATCTGATATTTAACTCCCAAGCAGAAAAAAGAGAACAGAACCCTTTCTTAATAGTCCTCTCAGTTGATTGGCGCGGCAGAGCCTCAGCTGGTGTTTGGAAAGCTGTGCACGCATGCATGCTGCGCGATCACCAAACCGGTAGGGAAACTGGTAGAATCCCACCACTGTTGACTTCAAGTTAATTTCTGCTTCCTCCTGCATTAATAAGTCTTGACATATTGCGGTAATCAATTTCTATCTATGCGCTATTTCTCTTTTATAGAATGTTTCTTGTGCTGAGATTCACAAACCCAATTTGCAACCCGAGGCTCACAGAGAGCTCTTCGCTTAACTTCGCAAGCTGCTGCAGGCCTTTGTTTAATTTTCTTTGCCATCTTCCCAGCCCCCAGCCAATTCCAAAGAAGAAGGCTCTGCCACTTCCACCGTGGCTTCTTCTCCTCAACCATCCGAAGAGAGTCAACCTAGGGAAAAAGATGCAAGCACTCCAAACACAGAAATGGCAGGTGGGGTTCTATTGATGCTGTGAAGCTTCCCCTTCTTCTCGGTAAAGTAACTTCTCCCAGAGTTCCTCGTTTCGACGCTTGGTGACCCACTAAAAATGGGCTTCTTGGAGCCCATGTTCCACAACTCTTCAAGTCCACAACTCTTCAAATTGCCAAGGTTGTGGAACACTGGCTCAATGTTTAAAGCCACCCTTCTCAGCTAGTGTCTGGGCAGAGAACAAACAGCGAGGGGGGAAAAAATTGCATGGTAAATTTACAAAAGTAAATGCAAAACTTAAAATAAGTAGCAACCAAGAAAAGCAACACAGTCAACTACCTTGTTTCCCCGAAAGTACGACCTACCCTGAAAGTAAGTCCTAGCTTGATTTTCACATGTGTGCCCAAAATAAGCCCTATCCCCCAAAATAAGCCCTAATTATGATCCTGCCTACTCCAGAGTGCATGGGTAAAAATTAAGCTAGGCTGGGGATTGTGGGGGGGGAGCAAAGCTGACCTACTACCTACTTTTAGACAGTTGTAGCCAGGCCTTGCACACCCCAACACCTGCCTTGCCGGCCCATTTCTTCTGCAGCTGGCAAGGCCTGGCAAGGTTTTCCTGAAGGCCTCTGTAGCTGACAACAAAGCCACAGGAAAGCCGTACGAGCTGCAGAAGAAGAAGTCCCTGAAGGCCTCTGACAGTGAAAAGGAGGCTGGGGGGCACCACGCGCAAGTGAGGTTAGTCAGTGGATGACCTCCCCCGAAAATAAGACCTGGTGCCTTTTTTTGGTGGCAAAATATATATAAAACAGGGTCTTATTTTCGGGAAAAGATGGTATGTTGTTAGAGATAGGACAGGGGTCTTTGCAAGGCCAGGTGGAGTAGTCTCCCTTATATTGCCCCAGGAGTATTTGGGAGGTAGATAGAGAAATCTTGGATGTTTTTCTGGTCTCTTCTGCCGTGGTGGCATGACCATTTTTTTTTCTCCTTTCTCACAGATGAAGTAGAGGCGAAGTCCCAAGATGTCAGCCTGTGTCTAGAAGATATCATGGAGAAATTACGGAATGCTTTCCCCAACACTGGAGGTAGAACATAATCAACAGTCACAAACAAGCATGTTAAGGTGGAGGAGTTTTCTGAGGACCCATATTATCTCAGTTGAACTTCCCCCGGAAGTCTGCCTCCCAGCAGCAAGGATGCATCATCGTAAAAAAATAGATCACACTGGCAAGTCATGTGGAAAGGCACAAAATAATTTTGACATGCATATTTTGTGTAGATGTTTTTCCCCAGTCAATTATCCTAAGAAAGATTAGACTTCTGGCTGGAAATCTTGAGACCTGCAGTGCCATTTTGTTGGATGACATTGGTTTAGAGGAGGGGTTTCCATCTTTGGCAACTTTAAGATTTGGGGACTTCTCCCAGAATTCCTCAGCCAGCGTGGCATAGCTGGCTAAGGAATTCTGGGAGTTGAAGGCCCCAAGTCTTAAAGTTGCCAAGGTTGGAGACGCCCCGGTTTCGAGAAAGCTGAGCTATGATAGGCTTTTGGTTGAGACAAATCCATCAAGACAAGGAGAATGGAAGAAGGTATCTTGAACAAAGGGCTTAGCTATTGGCTGGGCTCTGAACAGAAGCACCTCAAAACAATAGCGCTTAGATTTATATACCGCTCCATAGTGCTTTACAACACTCTCTGAGCAGTTTACAGAGTCAGCCTATTGCCCCCAACCATCTGGGATCTCATTTTACCAACCTCAGAAGGATGGAAGACTGAGTCAACCTTGAACTGGCCGGGATCAAACTCCAGGCTGTGGGCAGAGTTAGTCTACAATCCTGCATTCTAAAACCACTGCGCGCCCATGGCTCCTTGGTGAGACCTCCTCCAGACCCTCACATGTCCACCTTTTAGGTAGTGAAGAATAATTTATGGCTGGGGGCAGAAGATTGGTAGATATGTCCCATTCCATTAACAAGGGGCTTTAGATTCCCCGCAGGAATCCAAAGCAAGTCAATCAAACTTCATCCTAAGTTTGCCCTAAGTTACTATCCCCTTTTCTCCTAACAGGACAAAGATCTAAGCCCTTGGCCTTGTTGAAGAAGTCCCTCAAGTTCTCCTAGAGACTTGGAATTGACAGCTGCTGGTATAAGCCACCATCTTAGCGATTGCTTCTGGCTCGTGGGCTTCTGACTGGTGCCTGCAATTCTCAGTTTCTAACTATTTGCTGATTGCTTGGCCAAGCTTGTTAATATTAAACCTGCTTTTGCTCAGCAGCGATGTCATACACCAAGGTGTATCTGTCCTCCTTGCAGAGCTGCTTCATCCTTTCTAAAAATCCAGCGTTGGGTGTACATACGTCCATCCCCATAAGATGTGAAAAATCTTTAATTCCGTTGAATGCCATTTTGTTGCAGACATTCCATAAATTCCTGGCAAAGGACATGACCCTCATCAAAATGACTTGAATATATATTATATATAAAAATAAAAGTGAAATACCACTCACGTATCATCACAAAATCTCCAGAACCGTAAAGCCTACAAGCTTGAAATTTGGCATGTATGTTCCTCTTGGCTTCTAGGTCCTCACTAAGAAAGGATTTTTTGAAATGACCATCAAAGCATTAGTATTTTGTATATTATTATTAACACGCTCTGATGCTAAGGAGTTCTTCTCCCACTCCCCACCTCAAAATAAATCTCTTCCAAAGGCAAAACACAAGCAGAGGAGTTTTAGTTTCAGAGCACCAAGCAGCTTTAGTGCAGAACACTTGAGCTAAGCCACGCCCAGGCTCCTTGCTGTCTCCTTCTTGCTCACACAGCAAATACTCTTTCACTTTCCAAACAGCCCTCAACTCTCTCACACACTGACAGGATGCTAGCCAGATGAATACCGATGGATGCTGGTAGGCAGAGGCAGAATTTCCACCACCCCCTTATTTTCCTCCCCCAAAACTAAGCCACATAGTTTCATAGAGAAGCACGGGGATTGAGCTAGTATATATAGGTATATAAAATTTGTTTTCTCTTTACATACAATGGGTGCTTAATGAATAGCGTACTGTGTGGGTCAATTCGTTTACATAGTAATACTTCTTAAGTTCCTAATTTCTACCCCTGTTGTCCAACCATTGATAAAACAAGTCCCAAGTTCGAAAATATTCTGTGTCTTCTTTTATCTTTTATCTTCCGTGCTAAACTGTCCATTTCTGTACAGTCCAATAATTTTTTTAATGATATCTTCTTCTGCAGGTGTTTCCTCGCTTTCCCAATGTTGTGCAAATACAATTCTTGTTGCTGTTAAAAACATGCAATATCAAATACGCATTCCCTTTACGTATTTTTTTGTGATACTATGCTTAACAAAAAATGGTTCTGGCTTAAAATCGTATCTGAACATCATTGGATATGACTCTTCATTTTTCTCTTCCAGGTCCAACCTCCCTAATCTAACACCTCCTGAAGCCTACAGACTTTATCTAACCAGTTCTTTGCCAACTGCTATTCTCCTTTCTCTTCCCTTCTGTCTTTCCCTCATGCGGTGGGTTTCACCCACGTCCCCAAAGGAGAGTTATCCAGGATCTGTGCAAGCTTTGACTCTCTGGAGACCTCTGCTTAGAGATTTCAGGGGACTTGCCAAAGAATGAGTGATCTAGGATCAGCAAAATAAAGCCAGAATCTGGTGCCCAAAAGAGGACCGGGTTCGAGGAACTGTGAAAGGGCCCATGGAAAGCAAGGGGACAAATCTTTCCCAGCAAAACACAAACAGGGGTGTGTTCTCTTTTACGGTCCGTGAATTGTTGCCTTTTGTGAGATCAGCTGTGGTAGCTGAGGTGACCCACCGAGGATTTGGCTTAAGCCCGTGTGGTCAAGTCGTGGCTTAAGGCGGCAGAAGCCACTTTCGTTAAGAACCGATTGACAGATATTTCAAACAAACAAACAAAAAAAGACGATGTAAGAACGCGAGAAGAAAATTGCATTTTCTCGGTGATGAGGATTTTGGGAAAGGGCTGCGTCATTTCCATGCCTAACACGCTCGGTGGAAATGATGGAAGAAATCGGAAGAAATCTCACAGAATTCAAAGAGAAAGAACAGATTTTGGAAAGGCATCATTTTAGCAGCAGCAACAAACAGCAGCCTTATGAGTGATAAGCTTAATAACAAAAAAGCCTTATAGTAAATACAATGTTGTCTATATTGTATTTAAGTGCTGTTATGGACTCCATCATGCATTAAATTCTAATTCCTGGTTGTATGTTTATTTTGGCTGGCCTCTTTCCATCTGTTTCAAATGATGCTGCTGCTGCTGAGTTTTGATTTGGTGGTGTTTTGTTTTTTTTAACATAATGGAAGAAAACTCTCACCTCCTGTTTCCTTTAGCAGGGTTTTCAAAAAAAAAAAAAAAAGGTGAGATTTGTCTTTTAGCACTGGATTGCTCTCCGCTGGAATGACTCTGGGGCAGGGAGGGTCGGGTGCCTGGTTTTCTTCCATCCATCTGATTGTCCCAACGGTGCTTTTTTTTTCCAAGAGGCAACTGGACTTTCTGGTTTTTCTTGGAAGACATTTTGCTTCTTGTCCTAGAAGCTTCTTCAGCACTGACTGGATGGTGGGGAACAATTGCAGGATGTGAACTCCTGGCTGTGGATGAATGAGGTTACGGAAGATGCACAGGGTGAGCTGTTCTCATGCACCTTCAGTAAGGAATAGATCATTGAGTTCAAGCCTGATGGATTGAAATGCTACCTTTGTGCTACCAATAGTAGAGAATGACAATAGTTTGGGTTTGTACTGCGGAGTCCTTGGTGCTCTCTGAGTGTAATTGTTTGCTTGCAGATGTCTCATAACCCAACTAGATTACACCATCAGTGCTGGAAGGGAATGGGGTTTGCTCCCTGATTTTATATATAATAGACTGCCCTTACAGTTTTGGTGGAGTTGTGGCTTCTCCTTGGTAGTTTCTTTACTTGTTTCCTCCTTGTTTGTCCGGTGGTAATCCCTGCTTATCTGAATGTTGGTTGCTGGAGGGGACTGCTTTGGTCTTTTTGGTTCCTTCTTAGCTTTGTTATTGTCTCTTTTGAACGAAAAATAAGGTTCGTCTCTCTGTGTCCTGATCCTATCTAGTCGGTTAAGGAAACATTTGCAATGAAACAGCCAAGCTCCGAGACCACCAAGGACTCCAGAAATTCCAAATAGATTTTCTAGAAAGGAACTCTTCTAAGCTTTAAAACAACTCTGGACAGACAGTTTTGTCTTCTGGGAAACAATCCTTTGCATATTTGATTTCAGAAAATTGCTGTTGGTCAAAAGAACCGAGACGTGAGCAAGAAAAGATATGAACACACCGGATAAATTATGTTCGCTTATTGCTGCTGGAGTGTAAGTTTTAGCCAACATGCTCCTTGTTGGAATCACTTGAGATATTTTTTAATTTCCACTGATTTGTAATCAACGTACATTGATGTATAAGAACACAAGACGGAAATATCCCAAATTTCTCCCACGGGGCCATAAGGTTCCATTGCATCTGTGGGACTAAAAAAAAGAAAATGGACAGAAGTGTCTGTATGGAAAACAAAATTCAAAAGGGGAGTAGAAATTATGGTCCAGACAAGTCTGCTCCCCATGGTTGTAACATGTGTTAGTTTTAATGGGAGTGAAGAACATGCACCCACATGCATTCAGTGTGCATTTTGTCACAATACTGATGCATGTGTACTAATCAGGAGATTCTCAGCCATCCAGGTCATGGTTGTCTCAAAGGAGTTTTTTTCAAAAGGCAACTGGACTTCCTTTCTCGAAGACGTTTCACTTCTCATCCAAGAAGCTTCCTTGGTTCTGTACCGATGGTACCAATGACGACTTTTGGAATATCTAGTCGTTAGGAAGGGTGTATTTGCAACCGTGAATTAAAGGCCTTGTCATGCCCCTGTCGGAGTCTGAATCCGAGGAGGAAGATGAACAGCTGACAGGGAATGGGAGTGTGGCTCCATTGGCTGTGGAGGAAACGGGGGGAAGGCAAAGTCTGGCTGGGCAGAGTAGGGAAGAGGTAGAACAAGGAAGAGAGAGTTCAGAGGAAGACCCACCCCATCTTCATCCTAGGGCACGCAGGAACAGAGAAGAGAGCAACGTGGGTTGTGTGGCTTACGGGGGAGGAAAGGGCCCTGATTCCCTTCATTAGCCACAGCTGGGAATGAGAGTTTAAAAGAGATGCATGCTGAGTGTGGCAGCTGCTGGGAGCAAACATGAGTTTATCTTGTGTTGACTTTGCTTATCTGTGTTCCTGGCATCTTTCCAACAGTGTTGAGTTATTGCCATGCCTTCATGTCTGGAATTCTTGCTCCTGCCCTGTCAAACTAATTTCCTCATTTTGCCTTGATTGGACTTACGGTTTCAGTTTTTGTTGATCACATTTTGGACTTGATTCTCTGCAGCCAAAGGCTGTTCCTGGGAGCGTTTTTCTCTAGCCCAGAAGGTAACCAGGACATTGGGGGCAAAGTTGGAGCTAATAAAGGGATTTCTACAGATTATCTGACTGTGTTGCCTTTGTTCCATGCCCCGGGTCATCACAGGCCTCAATGTGGGTTAGTTGGAAATTGTGAACTATGATTTGTTCTAAAGCAAACATCACTTGGGTTTTTAGTCAAGTAGGTTGGAAGGTTTGCGTAGTGTCAAATTTAATGTGTAGCGTTTGGAACAAGATCTCTGTATGCGGCATTTACCCTTGCAGAGCGTGGACTGAAAAGCCGATAAAAGGAGATTATTGGTAGCTCAGGGTTGAAATGTGGAGTCCATGATGCTCTTTGAAGCTCATGGTTTTCTTGCAAACGTTTCATTACCCAGCTGGGTAACATCCTCAGCGCACCGACCATCAGCGCACGGATGACATAACCTAGTTTGGGTAATGAAACGTCTGCAAGGAAAACAATCTCAGAGAGCCCCAAGGACTGGAGAGCATATCCGTTCAAAAAGGAGGCATGCTTTTTGAGACCTCTCTTGGAAAGTTACACCGTTTGGGGCTCTCGTTTGTTAAACTTGCCGTTGTCGAAGTAGAAGGCACACCTCGGGGTTTTACTTTTCAATTGATGATGACGCCAAGAATGGTTCTTCATTGCAACATTGCAAATGGTCAGGAAGGCTACAGATGTTTGAAAGTAGGGTAAGCCAGTGGGGTCTCCTGCTTGGGCTGGGGGGGGTTGGACAAGATGACCTACAAGGTCCCTTTCAACTCTGTTAGCAAGGACAAAACTGAAATGTTACCGGAAGGATGCTGTAGCACGTAAGGTTAAACTATAAAATGGGGAAAGAGACTGCAGCATTTTGAATATTTGGGTAGGTTCCATGCAGTAAATATTTAAAGACTGCCTGTGTGATGGTTGCTGGCTATAGAAGGAGGGAAATCTGGAGCTGCTGTCTGGATTTGCAAACTCTCTTCAGGAAAGCAGGTTGAATGGGAGATCTAGCAACAGATGTTGAGCCAGCCTTTTGGAATTAATGCTTTTGGATTGTGTTCCGCTGCAGTTCTCGCTGTTGTACTCCTACAGCTGGCTGGCCCTTTCTATTTTTGGTGTTGTTGTTTTTCTCCAGGGAAACCTGAGGAATGCAATTCACCACAAGAGCTATTTGTTTTCCTGGTACTCATTTCATACCGGGCTGATAAGAATTTCAGTTGGATAGGTTTGAAAATGGGCTAGATTCCTTCTCTAGATGCTTCTTGGGGTTACTGGGATAAGGAAGCAGAAGTTGGCTTGCACTGCCCTGTCCGTGTTGGTGAGAATGTTCCTGGTTGACCCCAAGATTAATACTACACCGACAATCAAGCGATAAGCAATAAGTTACTACCAACTCAGGCAAACAGTCAAGCGGTAAACTACAGCCTAACAACAAACAACTCAGGCAAACAGTCAGACAATAAACAAAAGTCAAACAGTAAACAACCCCAAGACCATCCCTACCAACACTGACAGAGCAAGCTACTAGATTATAAATGGAGAGAAAATCCCAATCCGTCCTAGCACTGATGATGTTACCTAGTTGGGTAATCAAACGTCTGCAAGAAAACAACCCAGCTCAGAGAGCACCAAGGACCCAACAGTGAAGGATGTTAACAGCTGGTGATGCCCCTTTTTAATGTATGGGTAGGCTGCCTGATCCTTTCTATCACAACTGAGAAGCGCAGCAAAAGAGATGGCTAGCAAATTCCTCTCCTTTGATCTTCCAGGACATCTTTTTGTGGTCCATGATCCACAGAAGAGGACCAGCCAAGAATAAACTCAGTGTTTTAGTAGTTGCCATTAAAAAAAGGGGGGGGGGAGGAAGGAAATATGGAAGAGCAAGTGCAGCAGTTTGAAAGCGGAAATACATTCCAACTCTTATCTTTAAAAGATTGTCACTAAACTACCAGAGCTTTTGCCTGCGAATATATTGAATTGGAGAACATGAATGATGACACCCAGCCTGTGAACATGCTCATCAATTGGAGAATCTGGTTTATGAGACACCCATGGGAGAGGAGGGAAGCAGGGTCACAGGGGACTGTAAAGTACGTATGCCAGAGTGGGCTTAAGGTGTCAGGATTCCAGCAATTGCCCTAATTAAATCATGATTCTTGAGCCAAACTTCAAAAAACTTCAAAGGATTCATTACAGGTGACATATTGGCACTGCCCGGTATGAAGCCAACTCTGGCATACGTAATTTACAATCACCTGTGACCCTGTTTCCCTCTCTCTCCCCTGGGTGTCTCCTAAACCAGATTCTCCAATTGAGCACGTTCATGGGCTGGGTGTCATCAATCACGTTCTCCAATGTTATATGTGGAAAATATATATATTGTAAGTTACACCTGAGAAAATGAAGAACAGAAGAGATACCATGTTTGTTCGCTATGTGACCTTTTACAATGATTACTGGACAATTATATGACTGTATCTAACAAACAAG